ACCGACATCACTCGGCCATCCGAACTACTCCTGCCTGCCGGACCCCCTGCAGAGCATTCCCTAGTGTCCTTTCCACCCGTCACAGTGGGTGCTGTGGAGCGCTTGCTGCAGCAAGTCAACCCGGCCAAAGCTACTGGAAGTGATGGAATCCCGGGTCTCCTAATCAAGTATCGTGCTGATATATTAGCGTCATCTCTTACCACATTGTTTAATGCATCATTATCCAGCGGCGAAGTTCCACAGCAGTTCAAATTAGCTCACGTTGTTCCACTCCACAAGTGTGGTGATCCCTCTGTTCCCAAAAATTTCCGACCGGTATCACTGCTACCGATAATGTCCAAAATCCTTGAGAAGGTCGTGCACAAATCGTTGGTGGAACCTGTCGCACGGATGAACATCTTGCCAGTGACCCAATTTGCGTTCCGTCATGGGCACTCTACGGAAGATTCTCTTGCCCTACTAACTGACAGAGTCAACACTGGGCGAGATGACGGTCTAGTTGTGGCAACCTGTCTTCTAGATATGTCGAAAGCCTTCGACAAAGTCAAGCACAGCATTCTTATCCAGGACCTTTTTGACATTGGCGTTACTGGAGGAGCACTGACTTGGTTCAAACATTACCTGTCAAGTCGCCAACAGCAAGTGCGTACTGGTACCGGACTCGGCAGGGTTGTTACATGCACCTGCGGTGTTCCGCAGGGTTCGGTCCTGGGGCCGCTGCTCTTCAGCATATACACTAGAGACGTACCGCCGGTTACCTGCCCGACTATGTCAATCAAGTTTGCAGACGATATAGCCTTGACTTCCACCCGCCGCAGCGCTGACCTCGTTTCTTCTGAGCTCACAACAGCCGTCTCTAACCTAGCTCGCTGGCTAGCCTCCCGTGGTCTCATCCTCAACGCCACCAAGAGTCAGCTCCTTGTCTTTGCAGGATCCAATGGCCAGAGTCCCAACGTTGTGGTAAAGTGCGATGGCATACCCGTGCCAAGCGTCACCAGTGCCCGCTACCTTGGCATCATCTTGGATGTACGCATGTCATGGCAGCCCCAGGTCGATGCGAGCATCACGAAAGCCAATAAGAAAATTGGAACTCTGTGGCGGACACGAAAGTCGCTAACACTTGCTAGCCGTGTGCTGTTCTTCAAGGCAGCTATCATGCCGGATCTACTGTATGGGTCCGTTGCGTTTAGCCCAGGTCTCACTCAGACCCAGACCGACCGGCTCCAAGTAGCACAAAACCGTGGGGCAAGAGCAGTTTATGGCCGGCCGGGGTTCTCTCGTGCCTGTGATCTCCTGGAACGCATGCAGGTGTTCAGGATTGGAGAAGTACATTGGCAGAAGGTGCTGGTCTTTGTCTGGAGGTGCATACACGCCAGTGCGAGTCCATCCCTCCAGGAGGTCTTCGTACGCTGCGCGGATCGTAGGACGCGCCTGGATCTCGCCCTGGGGCTCCGTCTACCAGCTACACGAACCCGCGCGGACGATCTCGCCCTGCCTCCCGAGGTAGTGCCCTTTGGAACGTCCTACTGGATGCCGTCAGAGTACTGTCGTCTCTCAGCAGCTTCAAAGCTGCCGTCGTACCGTATACCCTCCGATCTTCCTGATGTTATGATTAGAAACTTGCCCTGAGACAGCTTCCTGTCTGTGATTGATTTTCACTGTTTACCATTATTATTTGCCATGGCGACCCCCCGCAAGTCCGTAACTGGCAGGGCAGGGTTGGGCCTTTCATCCTCCCGATGTTAGTAGCAAGTACTCTCGTTAGCAGTAACTGTTAGTACTTTGTTTGTTTGTTTTTTTATTTTATTTTATTTTCTTTATTTTATTCTCTTTACCAGGCGTGGGCCATCCCCTGGACAAACAAAATGGGTGCCTTATTATTATTTTTCTGTTTCTGTTTTAATGACAGTCCACTGCACGCCTGAAAAAAGTACTTCGTTCATTAGGCGGGTTACAGAACTATCGACTTATCGTTCGCTGGCTTACTTGCAGTTTGAAAACGCTTCGCTCTTCATTGAGATATCTACCATTCTCTCTTTTCTCCTTATTTTCTCCCCAACCCTCCTTACCTGTTACATAATAACATATGAGCCAGGGACTACAGAAACCACCCTATGGCACTTTTTGGCGAAAATTTTTTTTTTCTCTCAAAATGTTGGTATGGTATGGTAATGTGCTCAAACAAAATTTCAAGTTGATCTGCGATGGTAAAATGTGCCTAACCACCTATTTAATAACGGCATATCAATTGAGCGATATAGAGCAAATTTATGTACACAGTATGTAATGTTCTTTGTATATCTTCATTCTTGCTAGTTAGGCAGTTCAAATGTATAGTGAACTATTCCCTCAGCTTCATCCAGTGACGCCTGCGCGCCGTCCACTAAATCTCGGTAGTACTGCCGCTCCTCTTGTGCTAGCGATGTGTGCGAAAGCAGGGCCTGGACACTACATTCCGTCTCTTCCTCTGTACGGGCGACACAAATTTTGTACCGCAGATTGTCACACAGTGCGCATACGTCTGTCCTTGGCTTCATCACTTTGATGTGTGCTGCCTGTCTCCTCCAAATGTGGCAAAATGGCGTGTAATGAACAGGCGAATACTGTGTGACGGTCTTGGTGTAGATGTTGTATGCAGACTTCTTGTTCTGGGATGCTGGTAAATATACTGGAGGGTCCTCAGCACGACCTCGCTCCGCTGCAGGTTGAGGTAGACCGTACATGTTAGCATAATTATGACTAAATAAACTGCACTACATCCTGCTCTATGTCTGCTGAAATGGCCAAGTGCTCTGGTGTTCTCCCAGTCAAGCCATGTTGTGCCAGTTGAACGACTCCTTTGTTTGCCTTTTTTGAAGGCGCTTCATTACATGACTTCCAACACTGCATGAACTGCCATGAACACGTCTTTGCACAACTCGTAACCACGTACATGATAGCGGAAATAGAAAGGTCGATCGCCACCGCCAGTCATCGACTTTCGCATGCTTGCAGTCAGTGCGCCCAGAACAAACTGCTTGAACTGTTGAAGCGCTTTTTCGATTCTCGCAGTTTAGAGACTTCAAATATGTAGTCCTCGAGCTGCTGCTCTGGGATGACTTTCCAATGATTCTTCGACTTGCATCCACAGCCTCTCTCAATCCCATCGCGTATGTCCGAGGAGACCACGCTTCACCTGCTCCGTCGTCGGTGGCTCAGGTGCGGGGGTTACGGGTATCTGGTTCGTCATCCGATTCCGAGTAGTCGGTGTCACTCTCCGCGTTTGAAATTTCCGAGCTGCCGGGGCTTGGCGTTTTCGACACAAAACTAGCAGCACTCGAGCTTGCTGTGACTCCACACGTCTTCTTCTTAGGTGGCATATCATCGCCGTCGCTGTCAGCATCGGTGTCGGAATCGCTCGCGGACGACTCGCCGACTCAGCGCTGAATCCGTAAAAATTCTCGTCGTCCGATTCAAGCGCCTTCGCATCAGGGACTACTGTAGTCGACTCCACACAGAATCGAGCTGCGTCGTCTACTAGATGTTGTAGCCATAATCAATCAAAGTAAGTGGAGCCTCATGAGTATACTCGACAATCGCTCGAGCTCGGAATCCTTCCCCGAACACCTAACAAGAGGACAGCTCTTGAGTCTTGTCAAAACAAAAGTGACGAGTTCTGCGCTTCGCGTAACTTTGAGTCACGTGACTTTGAAACGTCATAACTTGATTTTGATATCAAACGTCGTAGGGCGGTTTCTATAGTCCCTGGCTCATATTCGCTACCTTGTCATTGAGCATTTGTGCTCGTTTGGATTTGCGAATTCAAATAAAGTATACATACATACATACATACATACATACCGAACTCGAAAGCACTACAGCCTACTCTAGCCAACTGACTACCGCAGTGAAAACGTCTAGCTTATACCACTTGCATGCCAAGAACTCCATCAGCAGGCGCGAAAGAAGGTGAAGACAAAGTCTGTGACTTGAAAGTGTGACCCTAACGAAAGTCACAGCTACATGTAACACAAAACGAGAGTGCATGTCAGTGACACGTGCGACCTTCTGAACATTCTCCCCTTCCCGATATGTTGAAAAGTAACATCGAAAAGCATATCGCAACTCAACAAACAAATTTCCAATGCGACAAAAGCATTATTCCGAAAAGCTGTTGAAGAAATACAGCATATGAACAATGTGAACACATTCAAGAAAATTAATAGTGAATCAAACTTTCCTTGAAATCAGTTTCACGAACGCCTCCGGCTGGGTGTTGTCACCTAGCCAATGTGACACCAGGGGCTTTAGCACAAGCCAAGCGGACATAATCGCATGATAGGGCGTGTCTTCTCCTTGCCGCCCACAAGCACCTTAGCAACTATTACATGTCCATCAGACTCAGGAAAGACTGCCGTGATTCTTCCCAACGGCCAGTGCCCTCATGGCATGTCAGGATGAAGAACTAGTACCATATCTCCAACAGCCAAGGCCCGATTGATCTTGATTCACTTGTGACAATGGCATTGTTCCTAATAGCTGTCGAACAAATACAGCAAATGAACGCGAATCGCTACCCATCCTACACCGAGAGTCTTCATCGTCGGCAGGCTTCCATCATTGAGCTCCATTGCAGACAGCCGGACCTCCGCGGGTATCTGGGCTAAAACGGCAGGCGTGTCATTCAGCCACTTCCGTGCCTTCATGCCGGCTGCAGCCCAGATCAGTGGCAACTCTTGGTACATCTGCACTGCCAGTTTGTCGTTGGCTACTGAATCAGGAGTAGCTTCCATGTATGTTGACTTCAACATACCATTGGCGCCTAGCGGGCGAGTCGACAGGTAGTTCGATGCATGTTCCCGCGTCACAATAGGGGCGTTGGACGGCGAAACATTCAGGCCAAAGACCAGCCGCTCAAACTGGTAGCCGTCTGGTTGAGTATGTCTCTCCGGTGGTCGCCACAAGAGACGCAAGCACGGTTGGTCCTCGGAGTGATTTCGAATCTGAACGTACTTCGAAAATTACATCTCCCGAATATCACCGACGATGGTTCCCGAGTTGCGCCGCAATCCAAGCAGCACTTCCAGTATCTCTCGCTGCAGCCTAGGGTCCGGCTCTATGCAGTCGCTGAATACCATGCTGTAATTGTCGGGCAGTTGTGACTTCTGGCCATTCCACTGAAGATGAATCTCGTACCCAGCCCTGTCGAGTTGCCGCATTGACTGCTCAACTTCAGTCTTCACACTGCGGTCCTTCATGTGCCATGAAGGCTCAGGGCTGATGCCGCCTTGATCAACTTCCCGTTGCAAACAGGTGTTAAGCCGGTTCAGCTGTACGCCACAGTAGGTGCTGTTGGCGCGGGTTGGTCGATCATCATTGTTTAATACTGCTCCGATACATGTCCAACCTAATGGCGTTCTGCGAGCTAGCGGTTCTCCTGGCTTGCCATTGACTTCCTCCCAGCAAGAATGCAATTCACTATGATCACTGCCAATTAGAAGGTCCACTGATTCCTCGGTGAGAGCCGTGAAGCGAACACCTCGCAGGTGGTCCCATTGCGCTGCCGCATTCGCCCAGTCAACAGCCTTCAAGTTGCTTGCGATGCTTTCAATAGTTAGCGCCGTTAATTTGGACTGGAATGTTCCGTCAGCGCTTTCCACTGTGATGTTGACCGGCGTCGTGACGAATGTTTCCGTCAACCCGCTCAGAAGAGAAACTGATGCCTGCTGCGGTCTTCCTGCCACCCTCAACTGGCCGGCAACTGCAGTGGTTATGTAGGTGGTAGTGCTGCAATCGTCCAACATAGCGTTAACCTGTATCCGTACTCCTTCATGCACAAGCGACACCGGGAGGATGCGTACCGAGACCGATGGTACTCCACGTGGCCTATCTTCTCCCAGATCCGGCTCCCCTTCCGTGATGTTGCATGCTTGGATGGAGCAATTAATAGAGGCTGGCTCTATTGCAGATGTTGTTGCCCCTCTTGTGCTGATTGAAGCTGTGGGAGTGCTTGACGATGCTACATCACTGCTCATGGCTGCTGCAGACAGGTTCCGTTTCTGCTGCGGTTGACGATCATGAAGCAGCTGGTGATGTGTCTGACTGCAGCCACTGACACCGCACTTCCTGTTTCTGGTACAGGATGTCCCTCGATGTCCAGTGCCAAGGCACCTATAGCAGAGGCCTTTCTTCTTTGCTGTTTCCCACGGCCTGCTGGGCGACTCGCTCTTGAAGATGTCACACCTCCATGTGTGATGGGGCGCATCACATACTGGACACTGGATTTTGGCAGCGCTCTGACCAGAGGCCAGGAATGACGACGCGTGGGCTCCGGAGCTGCCTCCGAACGTTGGCCGACTTCTTGCAGGAGCTGGTTTAGTCGGCAGCGCCGCTGCATGATGACCATCCGCACAACTGACTCCGTGGGCCATCTCCGCTGCTCCAGTAGCGAATTCTGCCTCAAGGGTCACCCATTCCAACAGCGTTGGTGCACTACTGGGTTTCGTGTTGTTGTGACGCCAACGGTTAAACTGGGTCAGCATGGGCATCGGCAGCTTGTTTTGCAGCTGTCGGAACAGAAGACCATGGCCCAGCTCATATTCCTTGCCTGCATCCACCATGTTCACTATCAGTACATCCAGCAAATCGGCGAATCTCTGCAGGTCTCCAGGCCGGCCTGTCCGGAGGGCGGGGAACGACTCTATTTCCTCAAATTGGAGGTTTGTCTGTCTCTGCTCGCCACCAAATTTCCTGTCTAAAAGGTTAACGGCGGCTTCGTAGGCATGGGCCCAGTAGCCTAGGCTCTCGATGGCCACCAATGCCTCTCCACCTAAATACTGCTTCAGGTGCAGGAGCTTCACCTCCGGACATGAGTTCGTCTGCCCAACACAAGCCATGAAAGCTGCTCTCCAGGCACGATAGGCTTTCTTGTTGCCTGTAAACGTTGGAATTTGTATGGGTTTCAGCCGGCGGAATATCTCGTCCGATGACTGCTGATGCCGCGTTTGGCCTGGTGCTACTGATGGCACTGGTACTGGTGCGGCAGTTGACCCTGCTGGTTGCAAACCATGGCCTGTGGAGCGGGCGGGCTCCACAGACTAGCTGCTGGCACAGTGTGCACGCCGGCCACACCACTGGCGCCAGCCCCCTGCCGAGACGCAGATGTAATTACTGGCGACTGAGTAGTGGTGTGACGGGTGTCAACGGATTGCTGGAATAGCGTGGCAGAAGCGGCGGCCTGCCGATTGCGGTGAATAGCGTTGCAGGTACGGATGATCCAGGCAGTCGGTCGATTGCGCTGCTTCCGCTGACTGTCTGCTGGGATGCAGGCATCTCTGGCCTCATTCCGTTTGCGCTGTTTGCGCTGGCAATCTGGAGTGCTAACGTTTCAGCCGGTGACACAGGTAGGTTGCTGGTCATGCTGATCGCTCCAGTGCCGTTCGCGCTGTTTGCGCTGATCAATCCCCAAGGCGCTGATCCTGCAGTTAGCGCAGAGGTCACAGGCTGTGCGCTGTCCGCGCTGGTCTGAATTTCCGACGCGTGCACAGGCCCGGATCCAGGCGGCCTGCCTATTGCGCTGAATAGCGTTGCAGGCTCGGATCCAGGCGGCCTGCTGGTTGCGCTGAATGGCGTTGCAGGCACTGGTGCAGACTCTGGATCTGACGCATGTGGTGCGCTGCTCGCTCCTCATCTGGGGAACAGCCACGGACAAAGGCGGACCGCTTGTCGCTCTTTTCGCGCTGTCCAAGTGCGCGGTGGCGCCAGACTCTAAAGCGGCAGCAGCTGGCGCGCCGCTCCCTCCAACCTGCGCCGCAGCCGCGGACAAAGGTGAGCCGCTTGCCGCTCTGCTCGCGCTGACCTGGGTGTTAGATGGAGTGAGCGCTCTGCGGACAAACGGCGTCTCTGGTCGCAACTCATCCGTGCCCATGGTGACTTTCGGTCCGCTTTCGCTGACCGCCTTGTACTTGTCTTCGCTGACTTCAGCAAGACCGTACTCCGTTCCCCGGTGCTGGTCTGCAACTTGCTCTGACCGCCTGACCGGCTCGTCGGCTCGTACGTGTAGCCATGGTGGCCGTAGTCGTACGCTAGTCCACGTGCAGCAGTAGACAGTCCATGCGCCAAGGCCCTTGAGTGACCGATTTTCATTTTCTCGCGGGAATCGTCGCCTCCTAGGCGCCGCACCTGCGGACTTGTTTTCCGTTGATTTCGCCTATCTCCGAATGGTGAATATTTCAATGAAATTTGCTGCTTAGAGCCCTTCTACAGTCCATTTCAAAACTATAGACGCGTAGGGTTTTTGAAATATTTCAAATTTGGCTGGAACTTTTTGAGAATAGTTTTCGGAATATTGCTCAGGACCGCTCCACAATTACTCTCATATAGTTTCTAAACGATTGGGTAACAGACGCCCAATTTGGAAAAATGTATGCACAAAGTGATCACAGATTTTATGTGGTATAGATGCTGGCATAACGGTTTTTGCCTAGGTACGCGTCTATAGTTTTGAAATGGACTGTAGTCTCGTCAGGATACCTTTTCTACACAGGAGAGATGGCTCGGAGTGATGTAGACACCTATGGCCGTGCCCTGGAAAATTATTTTTTGAGCTTGCAGTTCGTGAGCAGCCACCAGGGACGAATGTCTCACTTTTGTAATTGCTGAAACGAAGAATATGGTCACCATTTTCACACCAGGTAAGGCATTTACCCATCGCGGACACTAAAGCCGCTTTGTGGGGTGATAGACCAAAGCTTTATCTTTCGAATGCACGAAAAATTAGAGTGATACCTATGTGCCGCACAATTGCACCCGAAATAAACCACGCACAGGCAATATTGTGATTTTATGAGAAGAGACAATTGGTCATGCTCTAATTCGTCATGAACTGTTGTGTTACTTTTCAAACACCACTCCGAGTGAGCATCTACCAATCCTTTATCAATTTTACAGGGACATTTGAGCTTAGGGGATAGAGGTGGGATATTTCACCAGCTGAAGTACTTGTTTTTTTCTGAATTTGTTGAGTACTAGGTTGCATAGTGTAAATATGTCAGTATATGTGTATGATTGTGGTGAAATTCTGAGCATCTAATTATTATAGCCACCACAGCACTGGTGCATGCCCATTATTAGCTAGATCCTGCTCTCTGACATTTTTCTTGCATTGCACGACTATCAAATTCGTCGAATGAAGTGAAGGAGCAAATTTGTTGCTGCTGATTAAGTTAACTGCATCAATTAACTGCATCAACTCTGTTTTCCTCTGCTGTTCTTCTTTCAGTGTGGTGACTTCTGATCCATGAGGCAATGGCATGAAGTCAATAGTTTGCAGTATGTGCAATATGCGGCAGTCCCTCTGTCAATGGACCTGTGACAGCTGAAGCCCAGATGTCGCAGTTTGGTGTCTATGGCCAGCAGCAATCTAATGTTGTTGCACCTTTCCTTCCACACACAGCAATGCTGAATATGTCATGGACAGACATCGCTAAACTGCCTATTTGAAGAAGCATCGCAATTCTTGTCTGCCAATAAACAACAGACTAGCCAGCTATAATTACAGTTTGGAGGTCGGAGACGCGATCCCGTGAACATATTGCGCCAACTGCAATGAAGAAGGCCTTAGCAATCTGGATGTATTACTATTCTCGTGTGGATAACTATGGCATTGTGATCCAAGTCATGCGGACTATAAAATGCCTTAGACGTGAGATAGTGAAGGGACTGCAATTGACCCTGATGACAGCAAGCCAATAGTGGATATGAACCACACCGACAGCATCATTCTGCACACCAGGAGAATCCAATACATATAGCTGCCAGCTCTGATGGTATAGACCTGATAACTTGTTTTGTTACTCTAAGATTGGTATAGAGTTATACATGTACTAGTGCAATCTCTATCCATATGCGTAATGCACTGTATTTGTTTCCGGTGACTGGAGGTAGTTTATCATAGCACTGTTTTATGACCTGGTTTTGTTGAAGATGAGCATTATCCAGTTAACTTGTTAGGTACCGTATCAGTCAGCTCTTTCAGCATTTGGCGTTGTGTCAGGGGTGGTTGGCAGTGTCGCGGGTCATTCCAAAGTCCGCAAAGGTGACGTTCTCGGCAACGGAGCGACCCAGTAGGCAATTGATCACCGATAAATATGCTGTCATTGGTATCATGGTGCACCACAATGGCATATGGTGTGAATATCATTATGTTATTCTTCAGGGAGTCCTTGTCGTGTAGCTTGCGAAAGTCATTGCATACGTTCATTACATGCATAATGCATAGTACTGTCTGTACACTCAAGTTTCAAGTCCAGTCCATTTTTTGGAAATATGGGCTGGACACTAACGAGGGCCTGGTGACGTGTTCATAGAGTTGAGTTATGCCAAATGGTGCCATTCGCTGGGAGTGAAAGCCTTGCCCCCCGCCTGCAACCTAAAAATGTTTCGAAAATACTCAAATTCGACGACTGCTGAGAATCTACTTGAAGTAGGAAGCTGCCGGACCACAGTGAAACAAGTCATCTGGTTGAAAAACGGAATACACCATTGCATTGCCACGGCTAAGCGAAATTTTTAGGCTCACCACACAGGTAGCGAAATGCCAAAACAAACGAGCCATAGACGAAAAACCATTTTCCAAAATTGCCCACCATTGAGAATGCGACTCAAAAAGTACCCGCAAACTGCCCAGTGCGGAAAATGAAAAGTCAACTTTTAGACGACTTTTTCGAATCTGGCGCATGGACTGTCCGAGGCCTCAACAGGGCTTGAAAGTAATGACGTCAAAATGGCCAGGGAGTAGTAAGTTGACATCAGATTTCTATATTTGGATCCACTAAGGTGTGACTTGCTATTGCCTAAGTATGTGGGTGCATAGCAACCCACTCATGTCGCACGCAGGTGTGACTTTTATTTCGCCATCAGTTGTAACCCCGCCCCCAGTAGCCAAATCAGTCAGTTTCACTGGCTACATCACCATGCTGTGGGTAAGACCGCTTGAAATGTGCTTGGATCCATACAAAAACTGGATCGAAGTGGATCCAGTTTTTGAATTTTTGAAATTGTTGCTATGCTGTGACGTAGCACTTTCAAGCCCTACTGAACTAATACTTCTGCCGTGCGCGTGCAGGTAGCTCTGGGCTCCAGCCCAACTGGGCATAGTGCTTGCGGCAGGTCCGCTGTACCCGTACCCGACCTCCGAAGCTACTTCGCGTCGAGCCCGGACTGGGTGGGGCCGCTGTGAGACGCCCAGGTAGTCAGTTTCCTCTGCGTAACTACGTACCTGCCCACGTACATCCTCCAAAATGCTCTCGGTTGCGGTGGTGAATTGTTCCTCGAGCAATTCCGCTTCCCGCAGCGTTACTTCCACACGCTTCTCTTCGTTGGTTGAGCTGTACAAACTGACGAGGTTCATGATAGCACTGGTGGCGCTGTCATAATGCGAGCTTAGCTCGGCTAGCTCGTCGTTAGCTTGCTCTCCTCGCACTCCGCCATTCATGGAGCGCACGAGAAGTGTCCGCCGCGCGTTGGTGAAGTGTTTTTTAGCCACCATTTTTTCTCTAAGCAGCTCGCTAAGCTTCTCGCGCTTGTTCTCTACTGCCGCTGGTTCTTCTCGGTGGTTTGCTTCCTCGGTGCTGGCTGTCCCGTCATCTGCGGCTTGGCTGTCTTTCTCCTTGTCCTCTTTGACTGGAGACTCCATAGCCGTGCTTAGGTGGAACGTTCAGTACTTACGAGGTCGACTCGACTTAATTAACCATCCTCTGCTACCAATATGTTCTGTAGAGGCGTGCTCCTGCCTCGGCACATACCCAAACCACACAAAGGACCAGCTCACGACTATCAAGAGACCTCTGTTAGAAAACTCTGGCTCCAAGCCGCAATTGCTGGAAACCTTTCACTG